AAAAAAAAAAAAAAAAGAAAACAAAAACAATTCATTTCAATGGTTATTGTTTGAATTTCCATGTAGGAAATTTCATTCTTTTCTTTGACATCATTTTCATTGAATAATGATGATTATTTTCGAAAACTAAGATTTCTTCATTACTTTCATTATACAAACGATCAAATAATTTATGTAAATTTTTTTAGAGAAAAATCGTTTTAATCGATGTCTGTTATGCGAAATTTATCGTGTGTCACAATTTAAAATGAATGAATATATGGTTGAGTTTTTGATGAAGTTCTAGATCAATTAATTACTAAACAAAGATTTATTGTAAAATATTTTCGTACATATATTTGTTTTGATGTATCAATTCTTTTCTAATTCATTTCATGAGTATTGTTCGGAATCTCATATTTCAAATCCATAAACAATTATAACATCAGCCTTCACTTGTTATGATACTGTAGTTAGTCAGTGATCTTTTGACTTTCCTGTTTTCAGCATCATAGATTTTTCTTAATCAAACTAAATGTAATGATTTATCAGGTATAGATGGTAGTTCCAAAGAAATAAAGATTACTGTTATTGCTGGTAAAATTCGTCGTTGTATATATATTCATTATTTTACTTTTTTCTTTCATCAGATATTTCTAAGAAATATTCTATTAATGGAGTATCACCATAGTTGTTTCGCCATTTTCTATTCTAACGTTCTTAACTGGTTATTCTAATTTTAAGGACTGATATAGAGAGTTTTTAGAACATATTTCTTTTAAATAAGAATCTTCAACTCATATTAATAAATTGTTTTGGTGTCTGACAAAGATGTTATAGTTGCTGTTGTCATTGATCTTTGTATTTGTCTTTCTTGTTATCATCCGTATTTCTAGATATGCCACGCATTAGGCCATTATTTTGCGATTACGATTTCTTAAATTATTTTTTCGTTGCATAAAGGACAAGCCAGAAATCTTGATACGATTTGAATATTAAAATTTTCTTCGTGAAATAAATACTTGTAAAATTTGTCTTTATGATGAAAAGATACAGTAAAACACACACACTACAATATAATTTTTTATTCACTTCACTATTTCATGTAGTGAGAATTGAAATAAGAATGCAACGTAACTCGTTCGTAAAGTCTCAGAGAACGAATTCTATGTGTAAAATTGAAAATATATCATGTTAAGATTCTTTTTCTAAATCATAAATAAATAAGCCATCTGATAGGATCATCAAGCAAGATCGAACTTAGTTATGGTAACTTCTTCACTACCATTAAAAAGCCATATTTTTACTTAGATTTAAACAATAATTTCTTTGCTCATATCCCATTCAAAATTCAATTTTTTTTTTATTTTTAGAAAGTTTTATCTCAACTGATCAACTGATAAATAAATATATTGAAATTAGATTCTCACATCTCAAGATTCCGATATTTCTATGATTTTAAAGAGATACATATATATTAACAGTGGCTTCACACATCTTAGTTTTCGGGTAATTATTTATGAATGATATCAATTTATTATTTAAATTTTAAGTTGAAAAAAAGAAAAAAGAACATGATTTTATTTGATTATTATTGTTTATGAGCACAAGCCAGAAAATTTGGTTGATTATAATAAAAGTCGATTGTTTTATCAGTACATGCTTCTCCTTCAGTTGAACCAACATGTGGACAATGTATAGATGGTCATAAAGGTACAAAATATGTATGAATAAAACGGCAAATAACATTTCCTTGATCTCCTCTTGCTACTCTTCAACTAAATCAGCTGTTTTTTTTTCTTAGGATAGACCATAGATTGAAAGTTCTTATTCATGTTAAAACAATCCATACATATTAAATTAGCAAACTGTTCTTTTTTTCTTATATTTATTTGTTAATAAATGTCAAATATAAAATAATCAAAAAAAAAGAAAAAGTCAACATTCTTCAATTTTTTGTCGATCTTTTTCAATTTGTAAAACTTTTTTTGTTAAACAATTTGAATTTGAATCATCGGAAAATGTTCGTTTAATAGAATTATTTGTTAATTGACCAAAAAAGAGATTTTTTTCATTTCTGTTAATAAGAATATTATCTTGATTCTCATTTGAATTATTTATTTTTGATATTGTTGCAATAGTTGTTAAAAATTTACCATCTTCAGTTCAAGTTCGAGTCGTTCGTACTGTATCATTTGCACCTAGAATTTATTTATTTAAAAAAAAAAAGAAAAAAATTTCAATATGATTCATATGATTTCAATTCCATTAGATTTAATAAATTTTATAAATAATATTATTATTTTATTAATTTATTTAATATGTTAATTAATTGTTTATTTGAATACGTCAACTAACAACTATTTTACTAAATATTTATTTATTTCATATATTTACATAATATGAGAGAAAAAAAAATGTTTGAATAAATAAATAAATTTTATTATTCAATTAAGTTAAATAAAATTGATCGAAATATAAAAATAGTTCTTATGTATTTATTTAATTGTAGACAAATATTCTTATTTGTTTTATATTAAATAAAAGAGAAGAATCTAATAAATAAATTCTATTTCGATTAATTCAACTAAGATTTTATTTATTTGACTAGAATTTTTTAATGAAAATTTTTCAAATCTAATCAAATATTTAATTCCAACGTAGATTTTATTAAAAAGAAAAATTCTCTATCGAAAATTCAATAGAGAATTCGACTTCTGTTTTTTTTCTTTTTGTTTTTTAATGAATTAATCTTGTTAAGGATCGATATATCGTCTATATTTTAATTCATTGTCGATTAAATAACTTGTATATATATATTTGTTATTGTTGAATATAATAATTAATATATAGTTATCATGATCAATATTTATTAGAAATAATATTAAATAAATATTTAATTATACAATTGACAATAAATAATCAATAATAAAAGAAAAAAAACAAAGAAAAGAACAAAAGGTTACCTACTTGAATCGATGATGATAAAACATTCGATGTTGAATTTGTTTGAATTTTATTTAACGAATAATTAATTGAAGATCTATTTACGTTAACATGTCCTTATTTAATATTTTCAAATGTTTTATTACTATAAGAAAGATCAATTAATTGATTTTCTTTTAAATTTTTATCTAGATTCGGAATGTTTAGAAATATTTCTTTATAAAAACTAGTTATATCACCAATTATATATCCTTTGATGGTGTTAAACATGAATTTTTATCTTGAAGAAAAAAAAAAGAATAAATATCTTTAATTGAATATAAATCTCATTTTCAACAAAATCATATTTGTTAATTGAACGAATAAAAACACTTCGAACTGTTTTTAATTTCGAACTAGGCACTCGGATTTATATACTTGAATTAATCGTGAACAAAATAATAATTGAGTATAATTTTCAAATAAATTCCAAATGATTCTTTCAAATTTATTTGATTGAGATCCATATAAACGATAACAAATATGATCAAGATGAGATAAGACATATTCATACAATTTAGTATATGGACTTAATTTAATATGTTTTTTATCATTATTTTCAACAATTCCATCTGATTTACTTCGATTTATTGCCAATTTATTCTAAACAACAACATCGTCTGTTTTTTTTTTCTTTTTATCCTATTAATTCCTATGATTTATTTCCATTATGAAAGTTAATTCAAATGATAAATTAAAAAGTTTTTGTTTTCTAAAATTCTATTCAACTTTTTAGAAAAAAAAAAAAAAAATTTTTTTTTAAACGAAATATTTCAAGAATTAAATTGATATTATATTAATAAAGATTTATTTTAATTAGTTAACTAAGACAAATAAAATGTCTTTGGTTTATTCTATAATAATATTTTGTTTGAATAATAATAAAAATCTTCGACAAGATATTTTCCTTCGTTTTTTTTTTTGTTAATTCGATTTTGAAAATTTTTGAGAAAAAAAA